GGTGGGTTGACCAGTGGGGAGATCGGTGGGTTGACCAGTGGGGAGATCAGTTGGTTGACCAGTAGGTGCATCAGATGGTATGTTGCTGGGTGCCTCTGATGGTGCATCAGTTGCTGCTGTCTGTGTTGGCGGTGGAGTTGGTTTTGGTGTTGGATGTGGTGTAGGCTGTGGTGTCGGTTGCTCTGTTGGTTGCGATGATGGCTGTGGCGTTGGTGCCGGGGTGGGATCAGGTGTAGGACCTGGAGTGGGTGCAGGAGTAGCACAGAAGAAGCAAAACTCAATGTGGTTGATGAGGGCTCCATTCCCTGGCCTCATGTCAATATACTCCTCATAGGCAGTCAGGTTATACAAGATCCCTCCGTTTCCTCCTTGGACAAACACAGAAACATCAACAGTTGACATGATGTCCACAGAACTGAATTGGTTCAAAGGCAAACCTTCAGGCTGTCCACATGTAATCTTGTAAGCACCAAGGTTTTCCATGTTGCAATATTGCATGCCTTCTCTGTATTGTGTTTGGGAAAGCTGACCGCCAGTAAACAACGATGGCACCACTTGTTGTAGGACAGGATCTATTGGTGTGCTCACGCAAGCTGGAGTGTCAATTGGGAACCTTATGTTGTCCAACAACTCTCCATGAGGCGATTCAAATCCGAAATCAAAACCAAGCTCATAACAGTTGGGATTGCCAAGGATAAGTGGTTCATTTGTTGGTCCAGGGGTTGGAGTTGGGGTGGGTCCCAAAGTTGGCGCCGGAGACGGAACTGGGGTTGGAATGTCTGTAGGCCTGAGAGTTGGTGATACTGTTGGACTGGCACTTGGAGCGGGGGAGGGATCAGGTGTTCGCAGATTTCGTGTGGGTTCTAGTGTTGGAGGTGATGTTAGAACAGATGTCTCCACTGAGGTTGGTGTATTGGTTGATGACAGTGTAGGACTGGTTGTTGGACTTGGAGTTGGCGACCCAGTCCTCAAGTTTCTGCTTGGTGATGGGGATGGCTGCGATGTAATACTTGAAGGGGCAGGAGTTGGATTGGCTGTGTAAGTCACAGGAATGCCTAAAGTAGGGGCTGGAGTTGGGGACCTAGTCTGTGGGCAAACAGTACAACAGGCTGGACCCATACAACGTGTTGCATTAATTTGGTCCCCCCAGAGCTGCAAGAGACAGCACGCAGGTGTTGGCGACATGGTTGGCATTGTTGTCGGAAGAGATGTTGGGTGTGATGAAGGTGAAGGTGTTGGCACAGGTGTTGGCACAGGTGTTGGTGATGTTGTGTTCATCCTTGGACAGACTTGGCAACAACCTATCATCTCAGGATCTCTATCCTCATCTCCTGTATCATCAAGGTCACATCGCAAGCGCCCTTCATAGTCACCCATTGATGTGTAGTCACTGTCACAACAAGGCCAATTTATGCTGGGTGCTGGCGTTGCGGTTGTGGGTGCATGTGTGACATAGGTTGGCGCTGGAGTCGGGCTCGGTGTTGGACTTGCAGTTGGGTTCAGAGTTGGTATTGGTGAGGTCACTGGGGTCGGTCCTACTGTGAGCTCTGCTGAGGGACTTGGTGTAGGGTTGAGAGATAGGTCTGGTGAGGTCATCGGGGTTGGTCCAGGTGTGGGCCCAGCCGTTGGACTCAGAGATGGATTTATTGTTGGGTTTTGTGTCGCCATTAGTGTTGATCCCGGTGTGGGGTCAGCTGTTGGGCTTGGAGATGGCTTCGAACTTGGGTGTGGTGAGGGCACTGGGGTTGGTCCAGGTGTGGTCTCGGGAGGTTGGCACAATCCACAACACAACTCCTCATGGGTGGTAACATTCATCAAGCACTGTCCAGGTGGGTCCGCAGGTGGCAGGGAATATCCCCATGGAAGAGGAAGAGCGCAACAAGGTGTTGTGGGAGCAGGGGTTGGACCTGGGGATGGTGCAGGAGAAGGAGCTGGGGATGGAGGTGGAACAAGGCATCTGAAGCAAAACTCAATTGCTGTGATTGCCCTCTCTACACCCACTCCAAGTGTTTCCGGTTCATCTTTCTCTAGTTGATACAGTGAGCCTTCTGATCCTCCCTTTATGAAAACAGCAACCTCCACCGTAGAAGTCAATGTTGCCATCTGCCAGGATCCACTGTTGGGAATACTACACCCAATTGTGATAAGACCGGGCACAGCGGTGTTACAGGTGGAATCAGGATCCCCAGTCTTTCCAAATCTCTGTGAAAAGAAGGGCTCCTGTGTCACCATAGAGCATCCAGCATGCCTGTATCCAAAATCATAACCCATACCCAAGTCAGAACAAGTCATTTCATGTGTTGGTGCATCAGTTGGTCCAAGTGTAGGAATACTAGTTGGTGATAGTGTTGGACCAAGAGTCATCTTTTGTGATGGAATGGGTGTGGGATACTCTGATGGCTTCGGTGTCCAATTCATAGTGGGAGTTTGTGTTGGGACTGGTGTTGGGATTGATGTTGCCTTGGATGACGGCTGTGGCGTCTGTTCAGAAGGTGCTGGTGTCGGACCCAGGGTTACCTTTTGTGATGGAATGGGTGTGGGATACTCCGATGGCTTCGGTGTCCAATTCATAGTGGGAGTTTGCGTTGGGACTGATGTTGGGAAAGATGTTAGCTTGGGTGATGGTTGTGGCGTCTGTTCAGAAGGTGCTGGTGTCGGACCCAGGGTCGCCTTTTGTGATGGAATGGGCGTGGGATAGTCTGATGGCTTCGGTGTCCAATTCATGGTTGGGGACACAGTGGGTCCCTGAGAAGGTGTTGGAGTTGGGGCATGAGAAGGTGGAACAGTTGGGTTCGGTGTTGGTGCCAGTGATGGAGATGATGTTGGCCCAGGTGTTGGAGCCAATGTGGGGCAAACTTCACAACATCCATCTTCATATTCAGGCTTACACCAAATCTCTCCCTCCATTACCATGTCCTTTGGAGTACCAGTCACGTTACAACAAGGGTAATCACCATGGGAAGGCACTGGAGTCGGGCCTTGTGTGGGCCCTGGAGATGGCTGGGGGGTAGGGTTGGATGTTGGTCTGGAAGTTGGGCCTTGTGTTGGAGACCATGTGGGTTCAGGGGTTGGTCCCGGAGTAGGCCCAGGTGTAGGTTCCTGTGTCAGTCCTATCGATGGCGCAGATGTGGGTACTCCAGTCGGGCTTGGTGTAGGACCTGGAGTGGGGCCGGATGATGGTGCAACAGTGGGACTGACTGTGCCCTTAGCAGTGGGGCCAGGCGTTGGGCCAAGAGTAAAAGAGAGAGATACGCGCAGGTGAAACTCTATCTCCCACTCTTGGCCCAACGCCTGGCCCCACTGCTAAGGGCACAGTCAGTCCGACTTCTGCACCATCATCGGCCCCACTCCAGGTCCTACACCAAGCCCGACTGGAGTAACCACACCTGCGCCATCGGTGGGTCCACTTTCAGTCCCACTGAAGAGCCGACCCCTGGACCAACACCGGGACCAACGGTTATCTCCAACGCCCGGTCCAACCCCAGGTGAAACTCCAGCTCCCACTCTTGCCCAACGCCTGGCCCACTGCTGAGGGCACAGTCAGTCCCACTCTGCACCATCATCCGCCACTCCAGGTCCTACACCAAGCCCGACTGGAGTACCACACCTGCGCCATCGGGTGGTCCAACTTTCAGTCCACTGAAGAGCCACCCCTGGACCAACACCGGGACCAACGGTTCTCCAACCCCGGTCCAACCCCAGGTGAAACCCAGCTCCCACTCTTGGCCCAACTCCTACATGCTGGACAGCAGCGGCCTCAAGTCAGTATCGCCACCATCTCCACCCAGGCCTAGCTCTCAGCTCGATGGGCAATGGCATCGGTGTATAGCACTGAGCGTATAGGACAAACCTGGACGTGGCGCGTATAGAACCCGTACAAACGACTGCCCGACCTGCGGCAACAGTCGGAGTATTACTCCGATCAACACCACGGCCTGCACCATCCAGTCGGCCATCCAGCCACCCAAGCCCGACTGGATACCCACACCTGCCCATCGGTGCCACTTTCAGTCCACTGAAGAGCCGACCCCTGGACCAACACCGGGCAACGGTATCTCCAACCCCGGTCCAACCCCAGGTGAAACTCCAGCTCCCACTCTTGCCCAACGCCTGGCCCCACTGCTGAGGCACAGTCAGTCCCACTTCTGCACCATCATCTGGTCCCTACTCCAGGTCCTACACCAAGCCCGACTGGAGTAACCACACCTGCGCCATCGGTGGGTCCGAACTTTCAGTCCCACTGAAGGCCGACCCCCTGGACCAACACCGGGACCAACGTGTCTCCAACTCCCGGTCCAACCCCAGGAAACTCCAGCTCCCACTCTTAGCCCAACACCTGGCCCCACTGCTGAGGGCACAGTCAGTCCCACTACTGCACCATCATCCGGCCCCACTCCAGGTCCTACACCGAGCCCGACTCGAGTAACCACACCTGCGCCATCGGTGGGTCCAACTTTCAGTCCTACTGAAGAGCCGACCCCTGGACCAACACCGGGACCAACGGTGTCTCCAAGCCCGGTCCAACCCGGTGAAACTCCAGCTCCCCTCTTGGCCCAACCCTGGCCCCACTGCTGAGGGCACAGTCAGTCCCACTACTGCACCATCATCCGGCCCCACTCCAGGTCCTACACCGAGCCCGACTGGAGTACCCACACCTGCGCCATCGGTGGGTCCAACTTTCAGTCCCACTGAAGAGCCGACCCCTGGACCAACACCGGGACCAACGGTGTCTCCACCCGGTCCAACCCAGGTGAAACTCCAGCTCCCACTCTTGCCCAACACCTGGCCCCACTGCTAAGGGCACAGTCAGTCCCACTTCTGCACCATCATCCCCCACTCCATCCACACCAAGCCCGACTGGAGTACCCACACCTGCGCCATCGGTGGGTCCGACTTTCAGTCCCACTGAAGAGCCGACCCCGGACCAACACCGGGACCAACAGATCTCCAACACCCGGTCCAACCCCAGGTGAAACTCCAGCTCCCACTCTTAGCCCAACACCTGGCCCCACTGCAAGGCACATCAGTCCCCACTTCGCACCATCATCCGGCCCCACCCAGGTCCTACACCAAGCCCGACTGGGAGTAACCACACCTGCGCCATCGGTGGGTCCAACTTTCAGTCCACTGAAGAGCCGACCCCTGGACCAACACCGGGACCAACGGTATCTCCAACCCCGGTCCAACCCCAGGTGAAACTCCAGCTCCCACTCTTAGCCCAACACCTGGCCCCACTGCTGAGGGCACAGTCAGTCCCACTTCTGCACCATCATCCGGCCCCACTCCAGGTCCATACAAGCCGACTGGAGTACCCACACCTGCGCCATCGGTGGGTCACTTTCAGTCCACTGAAGAGCCGAACCCCTGGACCAACACCGGGACCAACGTTCTCCAACCCCGTCCAAGCCCAGGTGAAACTCCAGCTCCC